GACCATGGGACAGTTCCTGTTAACAGGTTTTCAACATCAACCTATTACAATGAGTCTCCTTCAACATAAGATCCTTCCCCGGGCTTCACTCCCAGGAGCAGGTTTTCGAAGATCTCTGCTCCTCTTCGCTAATGGTGGGAATAAATATAAGGTTGAAACCAAAGTGACTCCATCCTGCTGACTTACTGGCTTTACCCAAAGAGGAGACTTTGTGCAAGTCTGTTCCAAGAAATAGTAAATCACCTGGTTACTACATAGTTGACATTTGAATTCACTCAGGATGTAGTTAAGATCAGGTTTGGTGGGGAAATGGAAAATGACTCAAGGCCCTGGAAATTGCTGTGAATGACTAAATACCCCACTCCTCTCTTTGTTCAAGGCTGATGCAGTGTTAAGTTTCAGCCCATTTTCACCAAGGCATACATTCTAAATAAAGCTCATCTGCCATACACTCGGCTTAGTGTTGCTTCTGGATGACGCAGTGGGTCGGACCTTTCAGGTGGAAGGCTAGTTTCCACTAATGGGTGGAAGGAAGTGGCAAGATCTTTGGCTAATGAAGCCAGAAGTGCTCAAAGGGATGGTGAGTGGAAGAACAAAGGCAAGCTGAATCTTAGAAACGAAGGCTGTTAGACACTTGGGAAAGTGAAGAACTATTTTAGAAACTTTAAAATGTGTACGTGCTCTAGGGTGGACCTGTCGTCAGGAAACAAATGAGTTTGATGTGGGGATCCAAAACAATTGTACAGAGGTTTGATAACCAAGAAGTTAGAATAGTTATCGGTTCAATAAGCATTCACAAGTTCCTAAAATAGAACATTAACAAAGAGAAACATGAGCCCCAATCTATATTATAGAGACAAAGAGAACCAGCAAGGTAATGGAATTCAAGCGTTCTTCAAACAAAGAAATATCATTTAGTTCTTTCAATATGTTCCAAGTTAGGGATTTTAAAAACATTCACTCAGAAAGTGAGACTAGTTCTCTACATTTCAGGACTTTCAAACCAGGAAATAAGCAGACACTGGATACACATACCGTTGCAGATTTAAATGTGGGGCTGCTAACTGAAAGGTCTGCAGTTTGAATCCAGAAAGAGGAGATGAGGCAGCCTGCATCTTTAAAGATTTACAGCCTGGGAAACCCCACCGGGCAGTTTCTACCTTGTCCCGGGGATTCTGTTGACATTGACTCAAAGGCAGTGGGTTTGGGTTTGGTTTTGGATTTGGGGAAGCACAAATCTTAATGTACGGATGCCTAAATTCATTCCCTTCCCCTTCTTTTCTCACAAAAACGTTCTTTTTAAACACAACGTAGCTCTTTTCTAGAAACTGCATATATGCAGTCTGTGGACCAGCAACGTCACATCACCAGAGCACTTCTTACAATTGAAAACTCTCTGGCCCCACCCTGATCTACTGAACCAGAAACTCCAGGAGCTGGCCAGGCAATCTGCAGTCCTCAGTCAGCAGGAGATGTGATTCTGATGTGCAGTTTGGAATCACTGCCCAGGGCAGTTAAGGTTTAAGTACCAGAGTCACCAAACTGAGGCTGGAATTTTAGGGGGAAAAGTTACCAGCTGGCTTTGGAACCAGACATGCTTCAATGTTTTCCCATTGCTTAAAAGCAAGTGAAGAAATGACAAGTGAATTTTGGAGATAGAAATGCGTATTTTCTATAGCTTTTTGTTTTAATCAGTAAGAACACTGAAAAAAAGGAGTGACCTTTAGAAGTATGAGTTTATTTTCAATGTTTTCTTAAACGCTTACAAATTAGTGTTTTATTGGTCCAAGAGTTTAAAAATAATTTAAAATATGTGCCATCATACCTTAAATACTTAACAAAAGGCGGGAACTCTTTAATTTTAAAGAAAACAGTTTTCCAATGTTTTAATAAAAAGCATGGGGAAATTGAGGTTAATCACAAAAATTGACTTCTAAAATAAAAACAAATTATAAAAGGCTAAGTAAAGGCATTATATGCTCATAACAAAGGTTCATCCCGTTAGAATAATGAATCAAGCATTTTCTTCTCTGTATTTAAAACAAAGTGGTCCTATTCTGTCCATAAAAGCCAGCTTCAAGTCTGAAATGGAAGACGGGATTAATTTAAGTTCTGACAATGCAAATACTTAATTTTACTGGTGGTTTCTCCCCTCTTCATAGATTAAAAAAACAAAAGTAAAGAGTTGGTAACACTCCTAGTTTGCTTGAGTAATGTGACAGAAATAAAACAAGAAATATATTAACTACTAATAAAATCCAGTGAGATTAAGGCACTGGAACAGAATTACAAATGGCACCAAATTGGAATGTATACAACACTGTCTGATAGTCAAAGTGGGAAAAGACCAAATAGCAGGCTATTCAGCTGAACAGCTGAAGTTTAGCAAAACCAAACAGACCAAGTACTCATCAAGATGAAGGTAACAAGAAGCTAGATTTGGGGAAGGGGAGAGAAAATTGTGCAACAATGAATATTTTTTTCAAAGAGAAAAGTGAACTTGGGGGTGGGGTTGTAGGGAGGAAAAATGTGCCATAGTAAATGAATGGAAATTGAAGTTCTCTATAAGTTTTTGTTAAAATCTCAATTAAAAGATTTTTTTTTTAAAAAAAGCCAGATCAAATTTGCTCCAACATGGTTTACTAATTACAAACAACAAATTCATTCCAAAGAAAATGAAAACCATATTCTTACTGTTAGGGTGAACTTTTGATGTTTCAGGATTTGCCATATTTTTGTTTAGTTCTTTGAAAAAAGTAAGTGATAGCAGATGTTAATGTTATTAATCTGGCCAGTGCACTGTTCCCAAATAATAAAATTAGATTATTAATATGTATCATCATCCACAATGACTCAGAACATAAGTATTAACAAAGTCCCACAATTGTCTCTAGCCCTAGGATAATTAAGTCAGACAATTTAGTGATTATTATATGGAAAATGAATTCTGAGAAATGGTGTTTCTAAATAAGTTTCTAAAATACTAACTTGGTTCCTCTCCCCTTCATCAAACATTATAAAACTGGACCTCACACTTTCTTGGTTCAACAATCATTTTAAATAACCTTCTAACACAGTTTCATTTTTTATTTTCTTGGAAATAAAAATTTTAAAATGTTTGCAAAATTTGCTTGTCTTAGCTGATATCAAGTATTTCTTTGGACAGAATTTTTAATTTCATAAAATAAAAAAATACAGTATCATCTGCTATGAGGGCGGGCTGATGTAGTTTTTCTGGTCATCTTAAAAACAGGTTATGCAAGGGAGCTCAGGTAGCCTAGTGGCAAGAAGCTGTACTGCAATCCCAGAAGTACGAGGTTCGAATCCACCAGATTCTCTGCTGGAGGAGAGGCAATCTCCTCCTGTACCTATCAGATCTGATTTGATGGCACACACACACACAATAATAAAAAAAACCCCACAAAAACCCAAACAAGTTATCCAAAACTCTGAGGCTGGGCTCAGTGCTAGCGTGGTGGACCTATTCATACAGTCAGAGATGGCGGAAGAAGAGACCTTGAAGCAGCTGCAGAGATAGAAGGGCGAGCCTCAAATCATTGTGGTGAACACAGAAGACATATCCATCAAAGGCACCATGGACAATTCCATGACCACACAATAGCCAACCTCAGGCACAACTTCATCTTGAAAGCATCGAGAAAGGTGTAATTGACCCCGAGAATAACCTCCCTTTCCTCTGAATTCGTTCCAGAAAAAGAAATTATGGTTGTACCAGATAAAGACTATTTCCTGTGATTCAGAATCTAACTGAACAGCCTTCTCTTGGGTCCCCTTGTTATTCCTTAATTTAATGCCTCCCAAGAAGATTGTTAATTAATCATGCCAAGCCACTGCAAGTGGAGATCACCCAATGACCCACTCATACCAATCGACTGACCAAAGGTAGGCTGGTCGCTCCAGTGCCCCATCAATATAAGTCCTCTGCTGCACCAGCTGCTTCCAAGTTCCCAGGCTGAGGGCTTTCTCCCTCCAACAGGTCCTTCTCTGACCACTTCTGGGGTTTCGAGCTTGAGCTGCTAGGCACTCATACCCAGCTGCCTTCTGACATTCTCTTCACTTGTCCCCCACCAAAAAGGTTGTTTTTATTTCACTAAAAATAACCAAGATGCTTAAAAAACAAAACAGTTGTCTAGCCTTTACATAATGGAATTATAGAAAGTTAAAGTTCTAATCTAGAGAGATTAGGTTTAGAGTATTAAAAATCTAATTAATAGGCGAGCTCTGGTGGCCTAGTGGCAGGAAATTGCACTGTAATCCCAGAGGTGCGCGGTTCAAATCCACCAGATGCTCTGCTGAAGGAGGAGAACAATAGCCTCCTGTACCAGTCAGATCCAATTCGATGGTACACACAATTTAAAAAATAAAAAGACAACAATAAAAAAAAATCTAATTAATAAACCCACAAATTAATGCCTATATTAATGAATTATTTTTGGTAGCACAAAAATGAATACTTCGTAAGCTTGCTTCTTTTAAAGCTTACATTCAGAAGCGTTATAAAAATGACTGTGTGCTAAATTTATGCCAATAAGAGAGAAGAAAACATAAAAGAGCCCAAATCAATTAAAAACCCGGTAAAGCAGCTAAGACTAAAAAAAGGTCATTAGCCATGGAGAAGGCGTTTAACATTCAATAGCCTATTCCAGGATGATGCTAACTGGTTTTGTTATTAAAGAACTAACTGGTCAAGTCAGGGAAAGCATTTACACACACACCCCCAGCACACTGCCGAACCACAGCTCCTTCTCAAATCAGCAAGTCGGGGAAATTTACACACACACACACACACACACACACACACACACACACACACACACACACACACACACCCCCCAGCACACTGCTGAACCACAGCTCCTTCTCAAATCAGCAAGTTGGGGAAAGCATTTACACACACACACACACCCCAGCACACTGCTGAACCACAGCTCCTTCTCAAATCAGCAAGTTGGGGAAAGCATTTACACACACACACCCAGCACACTGCTGAACCACAGATCCTTCTCAAATCAGCGCTCTATGCCCAACAGGCTTGTTCTGATGTTGCTTTTTATTCCACGCAGTTACTGAAGGCTTTACAATGGTATTTATGTTAAAAAACACTCGTCACGCTTACCACCCCAGTGAAATGTTCAGAAACAGAGGTAACAACCCTAGAAAGTAAAACGTGCACATGTTGCTTTTATTAGAATTATGGTTGTTAGCTGAATGAAAACAAATAATAGCTTTAAAAAAGTGTCAAATGGTAGAAAAACGTATTTGGGTAAGTCATAACTTTGCAAGTCAGAGAATAAAAATGGTATATTTTTGCACAACTTCCAACTCAAGTTAAACAATGAATGAAATAAGGGAACTTAAGGTCAAAAAGGGCTTCAAACAAACACATATTCACTATCTTTTAAATTTTTTAGGCAAAAGAACTGAGAATAGAAGAAAAAACCCAACATATACACCACGATAATAGTCTTTTTTTTAATGACATTCAATTTTCACTCTTTTCTAAAAGCATCAAGGACACGAAGGTCCTTATTGTAGATTATGGATCATCTCCTCTTTGGCTATGAGATGTGTAGTTTTGTTAACTAGTGACATCAATGAGTTCAGTTTCTGAGACCAGTCATTTAATAAATTATTTGGATCCTTGGGTCTCTGGAAGTTGATGATTCCTGCCAACCTGTCTACTTTTGCAAAGATGGTCTTGTTAACCACGAGGTTTGAGAGAAAAGCCTCTGACTCCTGCAAGAGAAAGACACACTGAATTAAGACAAAATAACGGCACTGACCATGAACAAAATTTAAGGAAATAATTTTCCAAATTCTTAATTCAAGAGGATGTAAGCCAAAATCCATTATGAAAAGTTCACAAAAGCTGTTCTTTGGTATTACTGCTTGCTGGTCTAAGAAACTTTATCTAAAAGCTAGGCCTCCCTATGAATCCATGCCTGCTATCGGAAAGCTGTACTTTCTACTCCCTCCTTTACAAAGGGCTTATGGTACACCCTTGAAAGGCAGAGAAGAATCTGTTCATTTGTTTCTAGAAAAGTATGATTAGAATATGTGCTCTGTGGCTTGGAAACAACTTACTCATGATTTCATTTTTTAAAACATTTATAATTGTAATTTTAATGAAAGTTTACAAAAAAGTTGGGTTTTCATTCATTCACTGTTGTAATTTTTCCTCCTTTACTTATGATTTGAAAATAAAACATTTTAAGGACCCTGACACCCTCACATACACAAATGAAACTAGCTAATCAAAGATCACTCCAAAATCTAACATTCCATCACCATAGTCACAACTCCTTCTGGTGAATGACTTCATACCAATACTTGGTATTTTGTAGTTTTCCTCCACAAGAAACTGAGACCTGACTACAACACCTCTCTAGTAAGTCCTGGCTGATTTCAAGTAAACTGCAGTCAAGCCATTTTTACCTATATAGTTCATTTTTGAGGGTCAAAACATATTATATACAAATATATGCTTTGGATTGCAAATGAATATAATATAAAACCAACATAATTAAGTGATTGATGTTTAGATTCCTTTTGGTTATTAAGATCATTTGGGAAATGTTATTCACCTAAATACAAAATTAAGTAACACAATAAAATGGATTTTCTCACAAGCTGATTGATAATTACAAATGAATAGCTATAAATAATAATGTTTACTACTTACATCAACAGACAGGTCCAGAAGCTGTGCCATTCTCTTCATAGTTATCCTTGTATAATATTTGGCCATTATTCTAATATTCTGGGGAAGGCATAGGGCAGGAAGAACAGGTAACAGCTGTCAATAAGGCTAAAAGTTCATTTGTTTTATATCCAAAATTCAGTTAAATGTCAACCTGAGAGCTGTTATTTTGCTAGAGCCCAAGGACTTCTGATTGCCTTCCATGTGGAACTGACGCACAGCTGACCCTGCAGCTGGATTAAGAGGCTATAAATTGCACAGGAGACTGCTCCTCTTTCTCAAGGAGCAGCTGGTGAATTAGAACAGCCTGCATTTGGGGTGGCAGCACAAATTTTTATCAGTAGGCCACCACAGCTCCATTCAAAAGAGGGTAGTTCTATATTTCTTTGGTTTCTGCAGTTTTTTAGTAAGATTCCACAACTTTTAAATAGATGGTCAAATCAATATATTAATATATTAATGGTTAAGAAGTATAACGACTGAAACTTCTTTTTTTTTTTGCTAAACGCAACAATTTTCAGAGACTTTAGTGTGTAAATCATTAATGAAATAACAGCTTTCATATAAAGAAAAAAGGAACAATGAGAAAAATGATTAGCAGTTTTCAAGAAGCTGGACCTCCTCTCTATCACAGTCACTGGTAATACCAACCTCACAAGCAGTCTAAGAGTTGTTCCAAACTCTTTACTCTTTATTTAGTCTTTACATCTACAAAATTAATGGCCAATTTCTGATATATTATTGGTGAAGTACATAAAGTCAGCCTTTCTATATTTCCAACTTCTTTTCTCACTCAATCCTTTTCTTGGCACTCTCCCTGCTAGTTTGTGCTCTAATGTCCTTGCGCATACTACCTCATTTGCTAAATATGGACAGCCCACTGTTGTCTGCCTTGTCATTGCACTGTTGTTTGTTGTTGCTAAGTGCTGCAGAGTTGCCTGTTACTCACAACAACCCTATCTATGTACAGTAGCTCTGAAGCCTGCCCTGCCTTGAGTTAGTCTCACTGACTCCAACACACCTACCCCCATTGCCTTAGTTACTGTTATCAATCCATCTCATCCAGGGTTTTTCTCTCCTGTGCTGTCCCTTCACCCTTCCAAGCAAGATGTTCTTCTCCAAGGATTGGTCTCTCTTGGCCACAAGCCTCAAGTATGTGAGACAGAGCTTCAACATCGCAGCCTCAATGGAAATACTTGGTTTCACCATCTCCAAGACCTCTTAAAACTCTCACCCTCAGGGAGCGCTGGTGGCCTAGTGGCAAGACATTGCACTGCAATCCCAGAGGTATGCGGTTCAAATCCACCAGATGCTCTGCTGGAGAAGGAGGGGGCAATCTCCTCCTGTACCAGTCAGATCTGATTTGACAGTTGTTGTTGTTATGTGCCGTCGAGTCGTTTCCGACTCATAGCAA